ATAAAAAAATCGGCAAGAATTTCGGAGGCGCACAAAAATATGAAGTATCTTATGATGTATCCCCGGACAATTTCTCTCCGACTTGCAAATAACTGCGTGAAACTATAAAAAAATAACAAACTTTACGCAGTATCAGTTGGAAATTTTTCTGAATGTCGTCATTGTAAAAAAAAAAATTAACCAACACCGTTGGAAGAACTTCAGTAATTTTTCAAAATTTAGTAAGGAAGAATTAAATTTAAAACACAATTTGCAATTTCAACACACAAAATTGACATGAGGTAAAAAAAATAATTTTAAACCCAACATACACAACTCGAATTTTCTAGAGACTATCGTTTTGTTGACACAGGTGAGAAAAAAAAACAATAAAAGCGTAACTCGAGAGTTTTGAAAAAAAAAAATTAAATAATTTGACAAATGAATTCTTGACTCCAAGTTCAGCATCCTGTAACTGAGAAGCAATTCAAGGCCCAGAAAATCACTAATTAAAATTTTCTGAAATTATTCTCTCACTCCCAAAACAAAAGTACTGTATTTTGTTTCCCCAACTCGAATATTTTTTCGCTGAACCCTTCAAGTTGACGAAGAGGTTGGACTGTAAATAAAAATTATGTTGCTGTCCGCTTGACATTGATATACAGTAATTTTAAGGGTTCGAATCTTCGAAATAAACCCTGTAACACTCAGGAGATGTCGAGAAAACAAGAACGGGCCCTTTTCCATCACTCAACATTTCAGCACGCCAAAAGTTCAACTCACCAATCGTCCAACGTTTTGCCCAGTTTTCCCCATCGTCGAAAGATTCTGCAAAATAGATTTCCGCGGAACAGCCTGCAACAACTGCCAGAATAAAAATCGCAGCGATACTCCGCATTTTTCTCAATACCGTCGCTTAAGGAAACAATGGAATAATTTGCAATTCATTTACATTACATGCTATCAAAAGCTCGAAGAAATTCCATGGGTTCTCCGTGTGAAACGAAGAAACCTTCGTGTGGTTTTCCTCGGCGATTCATGAGGATATTTTCTCCAAATTGAAACTTGGGGCTGTTTTTGATCTGTGCAGGAAGTTTTGCTTGCCACGTCGAAGAAAACATTTTTGCAAGGCATCTGATTTTCGTCAGCCAAAGATTATTTTTATTTTTTCCTGTAAGACACGAAACATTTCCATAAGGATTCTTATTAATTTTCCCGAGAGGGAGATCGATTTTTGTCAATATTTCTGTAAATTCCGAAGCCCATGTTGAGGAGACAGTGGATGATAGAAGAGGCATTAATAACTTGAGAAGGAAGACCAAGGGTTTTCATGGAGGCGTTAAAATTTTCTCATTCTCAGTTTATTTGAACCACCTTAATTCAACTTTTTTAGTTCGAATTTAACAAGTGCAAAAAAATTGAAATGATGCAGCATTTCAACTTCTTCCAACAAGCAAAACATTCTGTAGAGATGTAGTGTTCAAAAACATGCACATGATCTTGTTAGTGTTCAAGCCCCACTTCAAAATGTATGTCTTTCTTAAAAAAAATAATTTTGAAAATAATGTTTCTCTATTTGAAAGAACAAATAGGTATGAATTAATAAGATTCAGAAGGAAAAACAGTTTTTCTTTCGCATGCAATACTTTTGCTTCCTTTTATGTTTTAAAACATATGACACTTTAACAAGGCAGGTTTAATGAAAGAAAAGTATGGTTTGTTGTACAATTTAATCCTAACCTTTTCTATAAATTTCTTCAGAGATACACTTGAAAATATGACAGGACTTGAGAATTACCTGTTTTAGAAGTGCTTTGCAGTATTCATAACCCATTTCCCACAAAAATTTTTGTCTAAAATGAGTTAGAAACCATGAATCTCAATGGAAAAGTTTTTAATTATAACAACATTTCCATTAGGACCCTGGAAGTTTTTTGTGAAGAGAATTTACTGTATAGTATTTCAGCATTGGCAAAGATGGAAAAGTATGGTTCTCAAGTGAAAAACATCACTGGGGTACTGCTCTGGATGATAGTAACTCACCTGGACAAACCCAATCAACTTCAAAGAGTACTTCGTGCTATTGCCATTCTTGGTTGAGTGGAACTCCAAACTGAGGAGGGACTGTGGCATGAGTAGCAATGATATTTTGCCTGAAAAAAGACCATGATCGATATTCAAAAATTCACACCTCACAAGAGAAAATCACTGATGAATCTGCAACATTTATTTAACTGTAAAGGCAGTATATGAATGTATACCTTCAAGAACTACACTGTGTTGATGTGGATGTTCATATTCCAAAGCTTTCTCAGCACTCCAAGGATCAGTCAAAGCCACCAAATAGACCCTAAGGTTGCTGTTCTTCCCGACCAAAGCAGTCACATTCCTCATCATTTCAAAAGTATGGCCACCATAGAGCCCAACACTATCAGAGATTTCTCTAAGCACACTTCCATTTTTTCCACCTCATAAAAACCACCTGGATAAAAAAAAATCGGGACATTTTAACAATTAGACACAACACAAGATATCAACAAAGACAAAAATTTTAGTGAATAAAACAAAAGAACACTATTTCAACACCCTGCAGTTTCCCTCTTTTTCCTGTTGGTCCGCGTTTCAGCTGGATCAAATCCTTGCTCAGTGGCTCCAAAAACGGCCCAATCCGGCGTAGGAGCCATGTAATCCTTCAAAAAAGATTGGAAACAAATTATGCAGGTCAGAAACTAACATGAATCAAAAACGGGAATATTTTGAAGGAAAAAGTGCTAGCTAAGTGATGCTTATTCTCAAGAAAAGCCTCTTATCAGAGAGTTCCCACAATAACTTACTACTTCATAGAATTTCCATATACAGTACAGTGGAATCTCATTACAACACATCTTATCTTGACAAATCATTGCTTAGAAAGAAAATTTTTTTAATGATTCCTGCAGAACAGCAACAATCTTTTTTGTTTTTTTAATTTCACAAGAATTCACTGATACAGCAGTCTTCTCCAGGTCCTAATGGCTTCTTTGTGAACAAATTTTGCTGTAGTACAAAAGTCATTCTTTTATCTGTGAATCAGGAATACATTTAAAATTACACCATTCTTATAAATTATAATTTGACACAGGAGAGCTGGTTGAAATGTACAGTATTGTCAATACTGTACATGTACAGTACATGAGTACAGTACTACAAAAATGAAACATTGAAAATAATTTTCAAGCACAGTACAGAAATCGATGTTTCTTTGAGTTCAAATTGATTCATCCAGAAGTTTTTCAAACACCACTTCGGAGTTTCAAGAAATTATGAAATTTAAAAATCACCCGAAAATGCTAAAATGTTACAGTTCCAAAAATTTTACAAGATTCTCAACAGGATTTTTCAGAGATCTCCAGTTAGTTCTTGAAAGAAATTTCACGGAAGAAATCTTACCTCAGAAGAAAATGCAAGTTTCCCGTCCGATTCATAGAAGCTCCTCATCAACTCGTGGAACTTCTCATAGTCAATCCATGTCATCCACTTCCCATCTCTGAAAAACTGCAATCGAAAAATATTTGTAGAATGAAATTATCTCGAACAACCATCAGAATCTCACCTTCTTGTGCGCAACAAGAACACAATTGGAATGCTCGTGTTCGCAGGCAATTTCATACTCCGGCAACTTCTCCACCAGACCTTTTACAAAGGTGACCACTTCTTCATGCCACGGCACATTCTCCATCGTCAGAGCAGAATTTTTAGACGTTCCGCAATAAGTAACGCCTTTGATTTCAATGAAATCCGGATTTCCGAGTGCCACGAGATTCACGTAACCATCGATCTCTTCCGCATTCCACGACTTGACGAGCGTTAATCTGTAAACTGTGCGTTGTTTCTGCAAAGAAAAAGAAACCTAAAATATACACATGTCCGAATACAAGCACAGCAGTGAATGTTTTACAGAGGAGTACGGTACATGAATAATCCGCAGGAAAAAAATCGACTTGATTGTTGAATCTTTGCTTTTTGAAACCGACAATTCTATAAAAAAGATGGCAAATATTTAATTGAATACGACGAAATCCACAGAATGATTTATTGTGTGTCCACCAAGACGACGCCTTTCTGAACTGAAATTTTTTCAAACTTCGGAAAGGAAATGTGGTTATTACACAAGTAATAATTAAAGAGTAATTTCTTCGGAAGAATCATTAAAAAATTTAATAAAGCAAATATTATCATACTCCTGCGACTTCAGACCACAATAGGCAAGGACTTGAAAAAAAAAACCATATTGGCCGAAAAGATGCGAAATTAAAAAATACTGTATTTACCCTAAACATGTATGAAAAAATAAATTCAATCACCAACAGGTTTTCTTACTTTTGCTGTAAACTGACAGGTTGTCAATTTGACAAGATTTTTCCTCATGTGAAACACACGGACTTCTCTTCAATACAGTACAGTATCTCAAATTTAGAACATCACAATTTTATAGTGAAGCTTACGTTCTTTACCTGAGGTATTGAGGAAATCAGCACTTTTCGGCAGGTTTCAGGGCTGCTGCAAACATTATCGTCATTACAATATAAAAGTTCAGTAAAAAATGCATTCGATACCGAAACAGCCCAACAAAAATAAAGTTGAAAAACTAGATTGATCCTGCAGTGAAATTCTTGTCTGACTCATCATCTTCCGATTCGATTTATTCCATGCATGCCTCACACGTGTGCATAAATGAATTTTGCGGGACCTGTGCAACATTCGGTACCGTAAATGCTATACAATTATAAAACTACTGGAGGAGATTTGATATAATTCCCAACCTTGTCCTTCAATGCTTTCAAGCTGTTGAGGAAGCGATCCCAGAAATCTCGGAAAAGTGGGCGATCGATACGCTTCAGCTCCTGCTTTGTACTGGCGTCCACGCTGACGTAAAGTTGCGTAACTGGGCTCACTGATCTGAAATAACCATTGAATAAAATAAATAATAAATCGCAAGACTTAAATTTCTCTGCCTAAATTTAGGATTTAATATTCAGCTATTTTTTGCTCAAATATTCAATTTAATTTTTAGATTTCAATATTTAATCACATTTCTGGGCTTCAATATTGTATATATGTTTTTTAAATGAGAAAATGTCAAATTTTAATATTCAAATGACTTCATAATTTTTACACAGAATGCTGAAGTTGAGGCAAGGTTGAAAGAAAACCAGAACAGTTCCCATTACAATGGAAATTTCAGGTAGAAAATACATTCGATGCTAGGGACTAAACTACAGTTCACCAGTGAGATTTTTGACTCAAAGAGTAACTTCAAGTTAGCAAAGGATCAACAGTACCAACCTAATGGCATCCGGAAACTGGGCATTGGTGACCAGAAACGACGAGATGCCCTTGCTGTGGAGCAAGCGCAAATACTTGTCAATTTCCGGATACATGATGGGCTCTCCAACCAGTGACAAGGCGCAATGCTTGGGACTCATGCCTTCCTGGAACCGGTCCACAATCACTCCAGGCACTCCCTTGAACTCGTTGATCATCTTGGCGTGTTTCTCCAGGGCTTCCGACAAGATCATGTCCGGCGGGTCCATGGCCCATTTCCACTCGGTGCCCACGGGGTTCGTCTGGTGTCTCCAGCAAAAAACGCACTTGTTGGCACACGCCAAACTCGGAGTCGTTTCCATGCATCGGTGACTTTCTATCCCGTAGAAAGTGTGCTTGTAACAGCCTCCACGACCTCGCAACATCGACTGAAAATTGTTCGAAAAAAAAAAAATATTATAAATTCAAACTTAAGAAATCGGTGAGGCGCAAAAATTGTGGAAGTCTTCGGATTCCATCAATACAGAAACAATAAGAAGTACTCCCAGTATTAGGCAAAAAAATATTGTTAGGGGTAACGATTTTGTCATGCGAGTCAATTTCTTCGACTTGAAAAATATTGAATACGAAACTTTCGTTTTTTAAAGCGGGGAAACCAGCTCTATAATGAAAAATTCTTCAAAACGGAATTTCACCTCGGCAAGAAATTATTCGTTGAGACTCAGCATTTTACACCTCATTGACTCGAAAAAATTATAAAGATGCTTTTTTAATTCAAATTTTACCTTAGTCCATCTGCATAATTTGACACCAGAGTGCGTTCCAATCAATTTGTATCCCTGTTTAGTCAGTGCCTGTCTCAACGCCGGCGTGATCATTTCTTTCGACTCTTGATCCATTTTCTGTTCCTTCGACTTCTTCAACAACTCCATAATATTCCCCAAGTCTTCGAGGTCTTGAAGAGCAGATCCTTCATCCTCTTGTTCATCAGCAGAAGAATCCACGACCTCAACAACCTTCTCTTCCTCATTACACCCACACTTTTTGTCCTTCGATTCTCTGTCCGGGAACAGTTTCTTGATCACGTTTCCGGTCCATTTGTCAAAGTCTTGTTCGGCATTAGCTTTGCTCAGATCGTGAAACATAGTAGAAACTAGACGAGACGCGCCGAGTTCTTCAAAACTCGAAGAAAGCCATTTGGCTACAACGCAAAATCGGTCTTCTCCGTATGCGGAATCACCGAGTCCAAAAACGGCGAACTGGAAATTGGCAAGCAAAGATTTCGACACGCGGAAATCTTGAGCAGCATCGCGGATCCATTTGCAAAACCAGGCCGCGGTTTCCGGAGGTTCATTTTCTTCGTACGTCGGGATGACGAACAGGCAAACGCGAGTTTTGTCTTGCTAAAAATTGAAAGACAGAGGGCATGATGATGAATGTGAGAAAAATGATATGAAAAGTAGCCTTTCTTTTGTCTTACAAGTAATGATAGGGTTTCCGGGTCGTGATCCTTCATGTTGATCAAGCTGACTTCCACTCCAAGGGCACCGACTCTTTCCACCAATTGCTCCGCAAATTTCTAGAAATAAATGCAGAATAATGCGAAACAAATTTTAAAGACAGAAGTATGCTGTATGCATTCGAGAACTCAGAAGAGCGAGAATTGAGCTACAATTTTTAGCTTAAAGCGCAAAAAGGCCTCATTCGATTTGCACATCCAATGTCCCTCACTGCATATTCCACATCCATTTCCGAATGCATAACAAATTTCGCATGCATTATAATCAAAATATCATTAAATCTGTAAGGTCATGTCAAAATAGGCAAGTTTAGACCGTTCTTAATTGCTGTGACATCTGTCCAACATTACGGGAAGTAAGTTTGTCCAGTACGTGAAACATAAGGAATTACATGAAGATGTCACCTCAAAGGAAGCTTTGCAGATGCAGGTGGTGCCGCACAATTTGACCCCAATCCGTTGCCAGGTAAGTGTCAAATTGTGAAGCAGTTGAACTGCAAGACAATGTCAAATTTGATGTTTTCTACATCAAATTTGACACTTCAAGTCTCTCTGCAGGTCAAATTGTGGGGCATGAGGTTGAATTGTAAGTCAATGTCCCTGCAAATTTGACCATCCAATTGCAGGACGTTGAATTGCAAGGTACCACCTGTATACACATGAACTCTCTTCACAGCAAAACTCAAGAAAACGTAAAAAAAAAATTCGTTGTAGAGAACCCCTATAATTTGGGTGGAGTAGCCTTTTGGAAATTTGTTGTTGAGAAAGTCCGCATGTATTTCCTTCTCCCCAATTCTGTACTGACCTCTCAGCTTTCTAAACGGAGGAAAAAGTTATTTCTTAAATAAATAAAATATTTCAAGGTATTTCTCAAATTCAAAAACGTTTCGAGGTAGCCAAGCGAAAAAATGGCACCAAAAAGTGTTCCTTTAATGCTGAGCTTTTTGTTTTAACTTTAGAAGAGGAACTTTTCCTTTTGATTAATCAAATTTCCTAAAACTAAATAAAAATTTTCCGAAGAATTTGGGTTTATGTCAGATGAAAAGGTATGTCTTGAAAATTGAGCCTTGAAAATGAAATTCGGAGGCTTGATTACATAAGGATTAGTAGCATTATTTACCTCAGCAGTTCCACTTTCAGTTCCATAGAACACTTGGACTTCAGAGACTTCACCCATCACATCATGAGTTTTCTCCTTGTTAGAGCAGCAACCACCTCCTGAACAACATTTCTTCGTTTTACTTGCTTTGACTTCATCCTTTTCTGCTTCCAGCAGCTGTTCTTTTTTTGGTACTTGCAGTGGTTCTTCTTTCGGTACTTGCACCAATTCGGGGGCTTCGATTTTCACCTCTTTACGGCTTCGAACAAAAGACACAACGACTAAAATGAGGGCTATGAGAAACGGGGTCCAACCCGTTGCGAACACCCAACTCACAGCCAACATCCTTTACGAAAAAAGGAGAGATTATTTCATGCATGAATAAATTCAAACACACATAGAAAAAATATAGGAATCGATGAATGCTCGGTTGGAAGGATGGAAAATCAAGAGGAGAATTCAAGAATAACGGTATCACGAAAAATTATCTTGAAACAAAGTCAGCCATAAAGGGTTGATTCAAAAGTTCTGATGAGACTTGTGGTCAAGTTATTTTCAGATTTGTGAACAAATATGCACTTAAATGAGCGGTGTACTTCTTTTTTTGCATAGATTTCCAGGAAAAAATGCTGGGTACTCGAAGAACATCAAATATGTTACTTCACTCTTTTGACAAAAGTTCGCTTTTTCACACCTTTCCAACCGAGTCCCACTCAGCAAAAAAAATATTTCGTTCAAACAATATTTTCAGGTCATTTTTCGAAGTCCGCATTTGAAACAAAAAATAACAGACCGGAAAAAAATGCGAATAAAATGAAAGCAAAATCCTGAATGTTTCGACTAGACAACAAACGCGAAATGCCGACCAAAGAAGTCCTAAGACATCGTGAACAACGTAATCGTCGCCCAAAAACATTTATTACGAATAACAAACTCGGCAAAAATAGGAATTTTCGTCTCTGGAAGAGCCAGGCAAACATAAAAAATACACAGTCATCATTGATGAGCTTCCATAACGTAAAGCTCAGCAAAATTTCTTGAAAGACTTGCAAACTAAATTTACTTCCGTCAATTTAAAAAAAAAAGAAAACCCACCACATAATCACTAAAAAGAAATCGTAACGAAGGAAGCTTCTCAAAAGTTACCCAAAGCCTCGTCACATGATTCCATAAACAGATCAATACATTCAATGACAATTAACATATTATTTTCAATACTTGTCACACGTTTTCTGGTCATCCGAATGTGCGCACTAATATTGTACTGTACTAACCAAATACACGTTAACGAGCAGAGCATCTTCACGAAAAAGCAAATCCGAGTAAAAAACCCTTCTTAAATTCTGCGTGAAATGAAAATTATGCCACACATCGAAGCATATTTACCCAATTTTTTCAATTTCTAGGATATGACGCAAGTTCCCCACATCAAACAATGCATTATTTTGGTGAAAAATCTTTTTTTTTTTTACTAAAAACTGAAGAAAAACATTTGAAAATTATCAACTTCAACTATGTTTTTCAAAAAGGTTGTTATCTCATCGAAGTAACGTAAGATAAATTTCGGAAATTTTTACCGATTTAAAAAACTCTGATATGTAGATTTAAAAAAACCACATCATCCAAGAAACATAACTCTGAAACAGCCGTTCGCAAAAAAAGACAGCCTGAATACTAAGTACCAGCACTGAGTATTCAACAGCAAAAATAACCTTGAAATGAAGTATGTTAGCATGAAGCAGATGAAAAGTAACATATTTCACAGCGCCCATTTTGTCATGAATGTTTCAAGAGATCCCTCTCTACACCAAATGCCAATGAAAAACGTTGTGGCTTCTCAATTCCATCTTAAACATAATTCTATGCCCGCAGTTTGGAGAAAAGTTGAAATCTCCTTGTTTAGAGGCGGGCAAAAACAATCAATTTAGCACAAAATAAGTTATTTCGAAAAGATTCGTGAAACGATTCAAGTTTTCTCGCTTTTCCGCCATATTCTTGGTGGTTCTTCGCCGTCTATGGGATGTCTTTGTCTTGCAAATTGCACAATTGGCAAAGAAACAAAATAAATACCTGGCCAAGAGGAAACAAACGAAAACAACATTTCAAAGTCCAGTTTTCTGCTTTTTCCGCGGCAAGAGCGGAACAATCACGTCTTTCCTGTCAGGGTCTTCGATGCGTGGATGTTTCAGTCTGTAGTGTTCCTTGTCACACTCGCACCACGGAGTCTCGGTTTTATTGCACTTGAGTAGAATGTTCAAAACAGCGACAGGGATGCCATCTATCGTCACTTCCGGCCTGGAGTGCACTTCGTACTTGGTGGTGTTCAGTCCCGTTTGTCGGTCGCGTTTCCGGGTCACTTCGTACTGATTGAAACAGGTTCCGTAATCGCGGGCCCCGGTATGAATATGCCTGGAATTTAAAAAAAATAACAAAAGCATTATTATCAGGCGTTAGTCGGGACATGTCCGAATCACATCAATGGATATTTTAAGGGAGTGAAGAACAACTTGGTATTGATACGGAGGCATAGAATGTAAATTCAAGAAAAATCATGCATCAATCTAATGAAGCTGTCAATTGAATTTAAAAATTATATATACACAATTTTTTCCTGAACGGAAAACAACTTCAAATTTGGTTCTTTCCCCTTGAATATATTTGAAGATCATCGCTGATTATCTCAATCTGGCTATTCCCGACAGTGAAGAACGATCTGGATTAATTTTGAGGACAGGGAGAGCTTCATTTCCGTCATCGAAGAGCAGCCTAATCAACTAACAGAATTCGATTTTCGGCACTGTTTTGATCGTTGGATTCGTCGCTTGAAAAAATATTGCATTGAAATCGGGGGAGAGTATGTTGAACAGCACTGAGATTTTTTTTCAAATGATGGGCCTATGCGAGTAAAGAAAAAAAAATTCCATTGTTGAAACTCCGTTGAATCTATTTCATAAAGTCTCAAAGCTCATGACCCAACTCTCACATCTTTAAAAAAAAATCTTGCCGTTGATACTGAAAAAATGCATCGAAAATTGATTCTTTCTCCAACCTGAAGGTGTCATTCCGATGCGTCTTCAGGCCCTCAGTCTTGCCAATGACGAGCCCAGCCTCAACCAACCGGGCTCGGAATTCATCATCCTCCAGACCCCAGCCCCAGTACCTATTGCTCATCCCGTTGACCCCGGCGTAATGATCCCGCTTCAGCAACAGGATCCCACCAGTAAACGTGGGATAATCGTACTTGGGATGGTACTCGGGCGACGCCACGTGGAAGGGCCCGTGTTCCGGGAACCCGTAAGATAAGTCCGGGTTCAGCGGAAGTAAATCCACGTCGTGCAGGGCAAAGTAGGTGCAACTCGGCGGAGCTTCTCTGAAGCCAACGTTGAGCAAAAAGGCCCGGTTGAACCTGGACAGCAAAATAAAAGTGGTTCAACTCGTTCCAATTCAGAAACTAGACCGAATACAAAATGTGGCACATGATATTGTTGAAGTCTCAGCAGGACAATAAGAGTTGAAGGTAATTTTGGATCAGTAAGGTAAAGCTTTTGTAAAGCGTAAGCTTCACATCTCAGAATGAAGGAAAATAATCAGCCTTTTCCTTTTATAGCTAACACATAAAGATACACTTTATTCGAGATCAGCATATTTATAACCTTTCTTAATAATCGCAATTTCCCCCTGAAAAAATGTTTTCAAGATCAATTGCACCTTTTTTCACGGCCAGGAAATTGTGAACCTAAGATTAAATTAATTCTCAGAGCTTTTATTTTTATTGCTAACGTATAAGAAACAAATTTTGACACGTTGAATTATCATCATTTTTTAAATGCCTGCACTTATTGGACAAGTTATGTAAAAGTACGGCGATTTGATATTGGCAAAAAGGGACTTGAAATTTGACAAACCTGAAATTGTCAATTTGGTTGATGACGACGAAGCGATGCTGAATTTTCTGAGCCCTCAGGAACTTGTTCATGTGCGGCACAAAGACCGTCAACTGCGTGAACCGGTCCCGGAAAGGGATCAAGATGCACAACAGGTGCTTCGGGAGACGAGGGGTTGCGATTTCCGGATGCGAACTTCCGGCATTGGCAATGTCGTCTAAAGCTAACACGATTTTCAGGATGACGTAGAAAAAGGCGGCGCAGAACACAGTCACAACAATCAGCTGTCGCGTTCGGAGCGAGGAGAACCTCCTGTAACGAAACATTTGTAAAAACAACAAAAATTACCTTGAGTTCTTGAAGTTTTATTTTCACATTTTGAAACCCAGAATATTTTACACGTGATTATTATAAAGTCTGGTCGTTTTGGTCTGAAACTTTTAAAAAACAATTGTGAGAGACGTACAATTTTAAAAAATAAATGAAGTTGCTTCCTTCTCAAAATTTCAGAAGTTTCTTCAAATCGAAAATTTCCTCATAAATCCCCAAAAAAATGTTTCATTAAGCCCGTTTTCCAATCCGATGGCTGAAAAGAGGTGTTCTCTTCATTAAAGCCGTAAAATGAAAAAAAGAAGACTCAGAATTTTAAAATACAGTCGAACCTCTTCAAATCGAATTTCAAGGGACTAGCCAAAAAAAATTCGAGCTAAAAAAAAGTTTCAAATTGGGGAAACAAGCGATTTTTTTTGAAATTTTAATTGGTGATATTCTGGGCCTTGAATTTACTCTTGCTTGAGTTGACAGGGTGATGAACTTGGAGGCAAGGGTAATCAGTCTTTCACTTCCTTTCAAAACATATCAAGTTACATTTGCATTGCTTTTCTCTTTCCTGCGTCAATAAAATAAAAGCCAAAAATCCTCAGTAAAATTAGAGTCATGGAGGTTTGACGGGGAAATCTTTATACAGTAGATATGGACGTTTTCAAAATTTCAATGCATTTATTCTCAGGGGATTCAGACAGGGCCTGTACTTCATTTCAATAGCCACAAAAATTTTTTTTCTTAATCTTCCTCCAAAAAAATAAAATAAATTCGCCAAGCCCTTCTTTAATCCCAGAAATGAAAAGAAGACTTCTCTTCATTTAAGCCCTGAAAAAAATAACAGAATGCGGAAAATTGCGAAATATTTCAAAATTAAATTTCTTCGCAGGATAGTCATGTTTGTTCATAAGTCCGAAATCACAAAAATATGCAAGACCTGAAACAGTACCTGATCAGAGTTGACATCCGTGGTAACGGCATCAGGTTCGCTTCGACCGCAACAGCTTCGAATCACATCAACTTTCAATCATGTTTCAAACATCACGCAAATAAGTCTATAAAAATTCCAAACAAATGAAATCATCGACTCCCTTCTCGACGCTCCATTTTCAAAAAATAATTCCTCGCCGAAATACACTTGAATGCGAGAAAAATCCATCATCACAACATTAACACACACACACAGCCGCGTCTTTTGAAACCCTCATTGTTGGCAAGCAACATCTCGACCACAGCATGAGACGAAAATCTCACGCATACGCAGTTGTGCCAACGATGCACATGCAGTACTGTAGTACCCCACTATGGCAAGTTGTCCGCCAAGCAATCAAAACATCGATTCCATCACTTGCATGCTGCATTTCACTCAATTTTGTCGCCGAAAACACCACTTCACTAGCCAGACAAAATCATACGTTCAAACACGCAGAAGTCCCGTCTTCATCGCGCGACGACACTGATTAGAAAAATGAAAAACTTTCACGTTTGTAAGAATACTGGGTGTAAAAATACTGTTGAACCTCTTCAAGTCGAATTTCAAGGGACCATCACAAAAATTCAAGTTAGGGAGGCTTTGGGTATGAGAAACAAGCAGCTTTTGTTGCGGGAACATAGAATTGCAGGAAATTGTAAATGCTAACACAAGGGTCCTAACAGAAGTTCTTTGAATAGAAATTGAAATGGCATCTAATTGAGCTGAAAAACAATTATTCTTTAGAAACATATTCTTTGGCACAAGAAAAAAAGCAGCGCTGTTTGACACTTTTTTTTCAATTTTTTGCAAGGTTCATCCTGGCAGAGTTCTGCTCTCCACTCTAAAGATGAGGTGCCATTCCTGCAGATTTTGTTTGTTTAGCTCAGCTTTACCCTAAGAATTCTTGAAATCAACAAAATCTGCTTGTTGATTTCAAGAATTCTCAGAGGACTCTGCCAGGGTGAATTTTGCAAAACATTCAAAAAAAATGTGTCAAACAGGGCTGATTTTTTTTTTGTGCGAAAAAATATATTTTCCCTAAAGAATAATTGTTTTTCAGCTCAATAATATGCCATTTCAATTTCTATTCCAAGACCTTTTGTTAGACTCCTAGTATTCTGGGCCTGAAATTGCTTCTTTAATGAGTTGACAGGGTGCTGAACTTGGAGGCAGGGCTTCATTTGCCCAATTACCATATTTACTCAAGTACCATGCACCACTGAGTAAGCCGCACACCCCCATTTTTTTTTGCAAGAAATTTGTCTGTGAACATATCCCTATGTAAGACACACACCCCAGCTTTTTTTTCTTCTGAGATTCAAGAATTGTGAAAATTTTGTGTGGATCTGTTTTCCCCTGTTGACATTTCATTTTTCCTGCTTTTAACTGCCTTCAGCTACCTCAATTAAAGAAATATCTTCTGTTTCCTTTACTTCCAGTTGCATCTTCAACTGATTCCTAGAACTGATATACCTTCAACCCTTATTCCCCATGAACAAGACTTGGCGCCACGCATTTCCTCTTGATTTTTTTAATGTACCTGTATACAATGCGCAGGATCTTCAAAAAGTTTTCCTCAAAAATTGTATCTCCTGGTACCACACACACCCTTTCTTCTGCTTCAAATTCTGGAAAAAGTTGCGCATAAATATGGTACCATAGTCTTTCACATCCTTTCAAAACACATGAATTTACTTTTTTATTGATTTTCTCTTTCCTGTGTCAAAAAATACTGCAATATCCAAAAGGCTTCAGAAAATTTGGGTTACAAAGGTTGGAGAGAAAAAGCCTTCGCGTTGGAGAGGTTTCTAATTCATTGTTTCAAAATAAAAAAATTCAACAAGGGAGATTCGAGTTAACGAGGTTCAACTGTATGAGACAGAAAGGCTCACGAATAAGCAGTTGTGCCAACGATACACATTGTTCCCAAAACGGCAAGTTGTCCGCGCAAAGGCACGTAACTGCTGTAGAAAAACGCTGTCGCTGCACACACCGCCTTCGCGAAAAATATAAACAAGGATTATTTCGTGGGAAAAAATCCCCCCCCCCCCCAATAAAAAAAAACACATTCCAATACTGTACAGTACTGTAAAGGAATTTTTCGCGTCACACCATCGACGGATACAGTGAAAAAATGGATGAATACAGCCACTCAATTCATGATGTTCCCGTCAGAATTGATCCGAGCCGATTAATCGAGGTCACGAGGGTTGTCCCAGTTGGACGCGGCCTCTGATATTTCTAGAGAATATTTTAACATAGCCCATGATGTTCTTGAATTTTTGCATTTTATATCGACATCGACATTTATTTCGACATTTATATTTTTGAATTTTATATATAAAAAATTATATATATTTTTATTATTTCTTCCAAATTTGAAAAATATTCCAGAACTTCGGAACATCATGGGCTACGTCAGCAGTGTCAAAACAATATTTTTTTCACTATCACATCTACTATAGAAATATCACAGGTCGCGTCCGAATGGGGCAAACCTCGTATTTGTCAAAGATGAGTGAAAGAAGATTGCACGGTGATTTAAAAGAGCTCCAAATTTTAGGCAATTAATAACAGAAGTGTCCTTGAATAAACCATGCATTCAAATTTGGTTCTTTTCCCTTGAAAATCGGACGATTTGACGAACGGAAACTTTAAACAAAAAAAAGTGTGCCGTTACATCTTTGATATTTCTTGAAATGGGAAATTTTCTAATATTTCCAGAAAAATTTGAGAATTTCATTTTTCAAAGTTGAACAAATTGAGCCACCGGTATTTCTACGGACAAAAGTTACAACATATCTTATTACAAATTTACTTTAATTAGTGACACAAAACTATTTTTAGGGTTTTATTCCCATCAGCTGTGTAAACAGCCATTTGTGTGCTAATTTTTTTTTTCTTGGACTCCTCATGCCAAAAGATCAGATCATGTGTAATTTTTCTTCTGCGCAGTTAATTTCCGCCTCTCCAAGAGTAAATTTTTTTTTCAATTTTTGGAGGACTTTTTCCAATTATTTTCCACAGAGAGATGGGATTGCAAAATTCCCCTTCAATTTTTTTAAGGAAAATCTTATCAAGGGTGATTCGACAAGCAGACATTCTGACGTGCGGACACAGCCCAAGGCATAATTACGTCCGCATCTCGGAACCAGACAATTAATTAGTCCTGTACATCGATACACGAATTAATTTCCATCATTTCTTCAAGCGTCGGTCGATATCCGAATTTAATTTTTAAATTGACTAAATACTTTCGCTGGTAGGTTTTCCTTGTTCTCGAGATTGGAACGCGCCGAGTTATTTTTCATTTTTAATAAAAAGACGAAAAACATCAAACCTGAAAGAAAACGGCTACTGCGAAGCTTTCGGCGCTCTTTTCAGCAAACAACGTGCTCACAGTCGCGTATAACTGCGTGAGATAAGTCGTATCCCCGATTCCCAACATGAAGCTACACAACAATGCCAACCAAATCCTACGAAAGACATATTTTGAAAATGGTCCAAATTTTTTTTGTAACTCGACAGAAACATCCACGCCGAGAATAAATATCCAAAGTTTTAGAATCAATCGAAAGAAATTTTCATCAGAGCAAGTAAGCGAAACCTATTAAAATCTAACCTGCTTTCAATCAATGCTTCATCACTCGTGGTTTCAAAAACTGCTCGATTCGGAATATTGATGAAAATCAGCACGAAAGCGCACAAGTGACACGCAGCTGCACAAATTACTATGGGGGTCCTTCCGAATTCTGGACTTCCTTCTCCACCTCCTCCTCCGAGTTTTCTCATCAACAAACTCAGTAAGCTTCCTAATTTTTTGAAAAAACCAAACAAAATTAATTTTTTCCCACAAAAGAATATAAGTTCTGAATCGAAAATAAAAATGTAATCACATTCTTGAATTTCTTAACGTTCATTTATCTTATTTCAGATTATGATTATGATTATTTCAGATTATGACCACCTCAATTCAATCAGATTCCCCCACGGGAAGAAAACGCTAATTTTTTTTTTCATATTGTTGAACATACTCTATTCTCTTAGTACATTTGATTTGTGACCATCTCAATTCATTTAAATTATGACCATTGCGATTTTTCCAACCAGATTACATCATGAGAAGGGAAAGTATAACATTTTAGAATTTTCAATAATTCTTCAAGTCAATTTAATTCTATTTAAATTATGACCACCTCATTTTTCCCCAAATTGTGACCATACCAATTCATCAAACCAGATTCCTTTACAAGGAGGAAAATAAAAAAAATCTTCTCATTTTAAAATACATTTTCAAAATCCACCTAATTTATTGGAATTACGACCATTTCAATTAATTTAATTTATGGCCTTCTCAATTACTTATTAAAAATACTGTACGTCCACCTCAATTCATTCAATCAAATTTAATTGAGGGACGGAAAATAACTTTTTAAAATTTTCGAATACATTTTTCAAGTCAATTCAAATCAGTTGAAGTTTGACCCTCTCAATTTGCTAAAAAAAATGATCAACTCCATTAGAAGACGTAAAAGACGAAACACTTCAAAAATATTAATTTACAGGGAGATTTTCAAACACTACACTCACTACAGCATTGAACAAAATGCGCTTGAAATAAAATCGATCACTGTGCATAAATTTCGACACCATCTGGACCCAAAACTTGTCGCATAGCGCAATAATGACGGCTTGAATTTCGGGCATCAATTCAATTACCGAATTAAATTCCGCTGAATTAATGAATTCAATCATCAAGTACCACTTATTTGTCCACAGCCGATCAATATTCCGGAAACGCCAACATAAAAGTAACGATCCGAACCAAACTTTTCCGTGAACCCAATCGCTGCACTGTAAACACCTCCGTAAAACGTCAAATGAATCCCGGTATACGCAAATGTCGTACACAGCAAAAGCATCTTCACGGACCCCAACAAAGAAACTGCCGAGAAAAAGGCAGATAAAGCTCCTCTTTTCCGACTCGTTTCAATTTCTCCCTTCTCCTTTTCTGGTTTATTTTCCGGGATCCTTTCGTCGATTTCACTTCTTCGTTCTGGGTTCGTTTCTCCTTCCTCCGTATTTCCTTGTTGTTCTTCCGGGATCCCTTCATCACTCTCAGGCTTTGTTTCCTCGGGCCCTTTCGTGGACCAGGATATTTTTTTGGGATTTTTTGATAAGCGTATGCAAATGGGTTTCTCAAAAGTCTTGCGAAAAACGACTGAAAATATTCTGTTCATTAAGCATAATTATTCTTTTGGCATTTTTGCAGAAAAACATTACTGTGAGGTCATTCTGCGCAGGAGAGCATCCGAAAGAATTTAATTCGCGTGCCAAAAAAAAATCGCGCATTCGCTTATTCCTGTGAACATCATTTAAAATTCTTCCAAAATCCAAGAAAAAAGGTCTCAGACTTATTTTCAAATAGAATTCGTTCAAGCATGAAAATGGACTCAACAGATTCCATCATGAGAAGGAAATAAAAATGCTTTCAAATGTACATTTTTTCGAGTTCATCTTGAATTCTTCAAATTATGATCCGAGAAGGCAGCTGTTGAAGAGGAAAATTGAAAATTCCTGAACACTTTACGCAAATTCTCGAGGGAAACATCCCAGCTTTAATCGGAAAGTCATTGCCCAAAAAGTATCAATAAAATACATCTGACTTTTCCAAGTTCTCTCAAACGATTTTTGAATTTCCCTAAAAATATTTTTTCAAATTACTTTTTCAGGCTCCTTACGTAATAGGCAGAAACAAAATCAACCATCAACAGGATGCAAATTTCGTCGGTGACTCGCACGACTTTTGAGAAAATCACTGCGATATTTTCGCAGATCCGAAAATTGGCAAACCTGGGGCTTGTTCCGGGATCGCTAGTGGTTGGCGCAATAAGCAAAGTAAAATGAAGCCGACGGTTTCTATTCCCAATAGAATCAGAAAAACCCGGGTGCGAATTCCTTTTTCAATCACGGTTGCCCCACGAAACTGGAAGGTCACCAAGGTGTTCCCAAAGAGCAAACTAAAATTTGAAACCTCACGATTAAAGGCAAGCCATGCGTGAATGTTTTTCAAACTTTTCAACTTGGAAAACTGATTAAAAGTCAATTTCCAGGATTTATACACGAGAAAGAAAGAATACAATTGTAAAAAAAAAGATATCAAGATCGAAGAAAGAGGGGAAAAGTATCAAAAACGTTCAGAAATACTTTTCCGAATTTTTTTTAAAAGGCTCCATTTTCAATTAAAAATTCACTAAAGTTTATAAACTTTTTTTCAAACCCTAACCTCACAGGGCATTTGTAAATCCATGAAAATTCACTTATTTCAATGGATTTCTCAGTTCCTTTTCATAAAATTTCAAAATCTTGATCCTGGGGCACGTACTAATAATCGGAATTTTTCGAAAATGTATCACGATGTGAAAAACATAATATTCTGCTCTAAACAACAACTCGTCTTGAATTTTTAATCTCGCTTGAAAAATGTTCATCACAGATTGAAATGAGTTAAAACCTCTAGCCGAAACTGGAAAGTTTTCACTTATGCAGTGTCTTGAAAAAAATCTGAAAAAAATACTCAGCCCCATAAAACATCATCGGGAAGAATCACGAAAATATTTCACATTTTCAACGAAGTTAGCAATATTCAACCCCGTGCGGAACTCGGACAACCCTCGTTAATCCATTTGTTGGGAAAATGAGGCTCCTCGTCCAAATGCTCTGTAATTAAACGTAAAAACGGCCGTAGATCCACAGATTATACAGTTTGGTGAAATCTCACTACAACAAACTTTTGGGGACTTCATAAAATGTTTTCTATATGACTTGAAGACAATTTTCACTTCAAACCTGTCTATGATCAATAAGATCTTGCTTCTCTGGCATTCTCAGATTTTTCATTGTTCTTTTAAAAGGTAAGTGATCTTCTGAAAAAACGGAGTCCCAGTCCAGCGTAGCGTTAGACTGGGACATGTTAGCTTTAGCCAAGGTTGGTTCTCTTTAACGTGATATGACAGTCACGAGTAGTTACGAGGCTCATCGGTGTTTGGAGTCAGAAGTCTTGAAGCTGTAAAAACGCTTTGGGCAGGAGATTCCTTTCCACGTCCCACCGAACACCCAACCCCAAGTGCATTTCAGAACCAACCTTGGCTAAAGCTAACATGTCCCAGTCTAACGCTACGCTGGACTGGGACTCCGTTAGCCAACGCCCTGTTGGTTCTCTTTAACGTGAATATTTAGAACCGGGTTGAGCAAGAAAGTCGTGCATCAACCATAAGAGACAGAAAGACTGTCAAAAAGGAAAAAACTCCAATTGGAAAGAACCAAAGGTATAATACATGTCAACCCAAATACACAATGATCATACATACATGACAATTCCCTGGAACAATAAATGATTCCAAATACATGACACACCAAATCACCGTAAAGAAAAAAGTAAATTTTTGTCCTGGAAAAATGTCTTCAGGACTGAGGCTAATCTTTTTTCAAATCCCTTTAAGCATAAGATTTCCACCTGAAGGAACAATTGTACGTTTGTAATGTCGGGTAAAAGTAGACTCTTTTTGCCAGCCAGTCATATGAGCTATTTGGTCGAACGATAAATTGTTCGCATTGGCAAAGCTAGCAGCTGCAGCTCTGGTGGAACCAGCTGAAGCAATAATGCCTGCTCTTCGCAATGTTGAGATAAGCCAGGAGCGGAGTGTGGCCTTTTCCACTCTGTCCCCATTGTCGGATCTCACAAAAAGAAAATTTGAGCGATTGGGAAAATCTCTGGTTTCCTCAAGATATTTCCCAATGAGAAAGACTGGACAAGTTCTACTGTTAGGAAAAGACATGACTGAAAGACCATTCCTGGGGTGTGCAATTTTTCGAGATGTTTTCTGCTGTTCTAAAAACGGAATAAAAGAATTCCTTCCTTGAGAAAAAATTGCTGCTCCCATTTTCCATAAATCATCTACACGTGCTCCTGTAGCCAAGGCTAAAATTGTCAATGTTTCTTGTGCTAGCATGGCCCGTGTAGTTGGAAAAGGTTGAGCAGCAATAAAATCAATGACAATTTGTGCATTCCAAGTATTTGCCCGAGGGGTAAAGAGTCTACAGGAATTCTTTGCCCCCATCATGAATTGCTTCAGAAGAATAGAGTCAATGACAAAGTCAGGACGGTGAAAACGCACTGCCTTGACAATTGCATTTTGTAGAGTGCGAACATAGGAAAAAGAATATTTGTTAGAAACAAAATCGCTCAAAAAATCAAGTATAGTAACGGTTTGAACCTCCTCAATACTAATATTGCGGTTGAGGAGGAATTTTCCGAATCTGAGTGCAAAAGAATTGTACACTCGGACGGTAACTGGTGAAAGTGAAGCTTTGATAGTAGCTCGAACTTGCTCTGGCACATTTGTCATTTCAGGAAAAAGGCCGAGCATTGGAGTGGCATTTTCTGGAGTCTGTGGACCATATCTGGATGTTGTGGAAGTCTGAGGCTCTTGGCAGCTATGGGTAAATTGATGTAATTTTGTCGATGTTGAATTAGAAGAGGCCACCAAGGCTGGGAGGGCCATCTTGGGTGGATGAGGATGGCCTGGGGCTTCTCGTCTATGATCTTTGAGATGACTCTGTGTAAAATACAAAAAGGAGGGAATAAGTAACTCTTGGTATTGCCCCAAAAAGAAAGAAAGGCGTCTATTGTAGTTGCCTGAGGTTCAAAGAACCTAGCAGCAAAAGAAGGAAATTGGTTGTTGAAATTTGAAGCAAACCAATCCATTTCTGGCGAGAACTGCCACTTTGAGCAAATGTCCTGGAGAATAGTGGGATTTAATTGCCACTCTGCATCCAAATTGAATGCTTGATCTCGAGATAGAGTTCTTGTCAAAGAGTCAGCAGGATTATCTTTGGAAGGGATGTAAATAGCAGTCATTGTTGCTTGTAATTTTTCCAACAAAATCCAAAGCAATCGAGCTTCTCGGTCCAAGGATTTTATTCTTCCCCCAAATTTGTTAATATAACTGACTGCGATTGTATTGTCGATTCTGAGACAAATGAACGAATTTCGCAAGTCAATAGGAAGGGTCTGGATGGCCAGTCGAACTGCTTTGAGTTCTAAGAGCTCGATACGACTTTCATCATTTCTGTGCCAATTCCCAGAAACTTTAAAATTTCCACAAACTGCACCCCACCCGCCGGAGGAAGAAGCGTCTGTTGTAATTTTATGGGAAATAGTCCGATGGGTAAAAGATCGTCGGAGTGGTGGTGAGAGAGATAGCCACCAATCAAGGTCATCTTCCAGGGAGGAAGGAATTTCGAAGAAATCTTCCCATCTGATTCCAGACCTGATGGCTTGCTGTTTAGCTTCCTCGAATAGTCGAAAATGTGCCATGGCGTAATTAATGGCAGGCATACAGCTAAGTAAAAATCCTAGAATTTGTGCAAATTTTCGAAGTCTAATGGGAATATGCCCTTTAAAATGCCTTTCCAAGGTCTTTAAATCATTTTTCAGCCTTTTCCATTTATCTTCTGGGAGTTCAACCATCATCAAGGTTGAATCAACAATAAATCCCAGGAATTTCAACCTTTGAGTTGGTTGCAAGACTGATTTTTTATCATGAATCAAGAACCCTGCCCTTTCAAAGAAAGAGCGAACTTCTTGAGTGTGAAAAAGAGCCTGAGGAAGTGAAGATGCTGCAATAAGAGTATCATCAATATAAGAAAAAACTCGAAAGTTTTTCAATCTCAAGGCTGTTAAAAGTGCTTTCATAATGACTGTAAAAAGTCTTGGGGCTTCTCTGAGGCCCATGGGGAGACAGACAAAGCGAAAAAAATTGTCTTGCCATTTGAACATGAAAAATTTTTGATGCTCTGGATGAAGGGGGACATGATGAAATCCCTTAATTAAATCAAGGGATGTCATCCAGTCCCCTTGTTGGATACAGTCCAATACTAATTGGAGTGTTTCCATTTTAAAGTGAATTTTCTTGATACAAGCATCATTAACATATTTACTATTTAAAATAAGGCGGTAAGATTGATTGTGGTTCTTGACTGCAAAGATTGGGTTAATGACTGCATCAGGTAAAGGGAAGCATTGTTGAATTGCTCCCAATTGTACCAATTCAGTCACTAAATTTGAAATGGCAATAAATTCGTCTTGGGATTTTGGGCATGGATTAGAAGCAGAAAGGTCAGGAGTGGGAGGAGTGAGAAAATCAACTTTTACTCCCATAATAAGATGGAGAACCCATGGATTCTGGGTGACATTTTCTCGCCAGAAAGATAAAAAATGGCGAAGTCGACCACCAAGTGGCAGACTAACCTGAGAGGAACTTTCTCCCCCTAATTGTTGCGACGATCGTAGAAGTTGTATTTCCGGGGTGTATTGTGTGAACCCCTGTTGTCTCGGCTGTCGCTCTGACTGCGCTGGCGGAAGTTTTTGCTTCTGCCATCCCCCAAAAAAGACTGGAGACCAGAAGAGGAGGCTTGGTCATTTTTTGGCTGACGATTTATAAAATTGCCAGTAGGGCGGGGGGTATTTTGACCAGTACCCCTAAAATTTGAATGTGCCGCACCACGAGGAGTAAAATTATTGCGGATGCCTCCTCTAGCATTTGGCTTATTATTGAAGCCTTTGGCTGCTCTGATAGCTGAACGCAGCGTTGCCTCTTGCACGGTTGCATTAGTGACCGTTTCCAGAAGGGCTTTGTCAGAGAGGTCAACCAATTTTTCGCCATAAACTTGGCAGGTAAATTGGCCTGCCTTTAGAGAGGCAGCCATTGGGGGGTGTTGTTGTATAAGGCCCCTCATGATGGCCTTTCGTCTATGGTCAGCCACTGTCAAGTATGCGGTGGAATTCAATTTGATGATTGTAGAGATCTTTTTCCGCTGCTCGGGATCAGCTTTGATCTCTCCCAGAAATTGCACTAAAGCACGGTGGGTAATTGCGATTGCCTTCTGGGCCTTTTGGTAATTTGCATCAAGTTGTTGATGATATATAGGCAAATTTTTGTAAATTGGGGCATTTGTTCTTGGAACAATGCCAACAAGCGAATTGATTGGTTGAAGAAATGATTTTTCAAGATCTTCTAGGAATGTGGGAGCCAGAGCAGTGGAAATGAATGGTTCTGTGAAGAACAGCTCTTGGTGACGGCGGACGCTATCGCAAAGAGTTGGCCCCTTAGATTTGGGCAAGAGGTCCACTTCAAGCTCTGCAAATTCACTCCCATCTTCAGCAGTATCTTCCGTCCGTTGTCGTTTACGTGACGGTTCAAGTGCTATGAATGAGATGGATTGGAGAGAAAAAAAAACCAGAAGGTTTTTTAAATTTTCTATCCAACACATCTGAATAAATGCCACTGATATATATAAATCAGAGCAGAGGGGAAAAAGGGGTATACCACATATTTCCCAAAACAAGCCATACAGAATTTTAAATTCTTGGCTGATTGAACAGTAGAACTAGATTATCTAGTCTATATCTGTTCATAGCTTGGCAACATGGCCTGCTCAACATTTTTTTTTTTTTTAAATAAGGAGAAGTAAATATATATATATATATATATTTTTTGGATATCAACTTACCGGCATTTAGATCGATGGAATGGTTATCCAGTGAACCATGATCAGCCGGGATGTTTGTTGATTGATCATCAACAAGAGGGGCGATATCATTGCCTGCCTCGTAATCTTCATCACTGCCCGCATTTTCTTGCAGAGCAGGAGAAGGAGACTGAAATTCGTCATCAGCAAACAACATAATAACGCACGTTGTTGCGCAAACACGATTTTTTTTTTTTTTTTAAAGCTTATCAAAGAAGCCTGAAGGAGAAAAGAGTGTTGAAGGTTTTGCACTTTTTGAAAAAGAACACTCTTTGTTGGAGGAAATCACAGAATTGTTGAAGAGTTGGGCTGAATTCAAAGAGGGTGCGCGCGTCACTTGGCATAGCCACGTGACTTTTGCGGGCTCCAAATTCTTAAGCGGCTTATAACCTCTTGACGGTACCCTTTCCACGACACTGGTAGGGGGTACCAACTACTCTTTTCTGACTGAGGTTTGTGGCTACTCGGAGCATTGATGAGCACTGACAGTATTCACGTTAAAGAGAACCAACAGGGCGTTGGCTAACAAAGCGCGACACTTCCACGAAAAGATTTTTTAAAACAATACATTAATTCTCACCCCATATCGCTACGAAACGCGAGGAAGGCAACACAGGCCTTTTCATCTTCTCCTTCAGTGATTTTTCATCGTTCATGGCCCAGAAAATTCCGGAATTCCGAATGCGAGTTTCTTCGTCGGAATTCAGAGTCAAGAAACTCCCTTGGCCAGTCCACAACAAAGCCGCCCCCATGCCAAGAACAGCGGACGAGATATACAGCAACCAAGCGTTGGGATATAAAAATGAGCCCACAAAAACCCTGCAAAAATTTCAAGTTCGCACTGAAATTCAAAGTCATACTTAAATTCGAGTTCTGCAGACATGCGGGACCAAATTTGATGAACGTCTGCATGGGTTTCCCTGAATTTTCAAAATTTCAATAGTCTACGAGTGAAAGTCAACTGAATCCTCCTTTCACTACACTCGCAAATTCGTCACCAGGGACGAATTCAAATACAGCAGCACCCCGGATAATGCCTTTGTCGCAAAAAGACATTTAGCTGCCACCGATTTTTGATTCGGATAATGGACCACACGGAAAGTTGTGGCTGTTTCAAATACTTCATCGCAGTTGCACGGGGAAATGAGGCTGTCGAAATAAATTTTTCAATGGAATACAAATTATTTTGACCTTCTAAATTGCGATGCACACTTCATTCAATGGTATTTTTCGCTGATTTTTGATATTTTATGCAGAATAAGATTTAAGAAGATTATTTTGACCTTCTCAATCTCGATGCATATTTTATTCAGGATTATTTTTGCTTATTTTTTATAGTTTACACTGAACGGCATTTTCGTAGTTGACGATTTCGTTTTTTAAATTCTCGAGAGACATTTTTAAGGGAGCTGGAACCAATTAACCTTTTTTTTTTATTACCCCACTCCATCGACTTCACGGATTATGCACATCAAAATCCATTAACCGAGGCACCACTACATACAGTGCAGTACACTCGAAGTCCGATAAAAAATCACAATACTTTTTTCTAGGAAATTGTTGGAGGTTCATCGAATCGTTCATTTTTAATTATTCTACCTGTACTACAATAACTGGATTTTCTTTCAAAAAATAACAGAAATATACGTTTCTTAAAAATGTTCTCAGCGCATTGTTTAAAGAAAATGAATTTTACTCATCGAATTTATTTGAATTTTAAAACTAGGCCCATCTATTATTAAAATTATTCAAAGCAAATATTTCCTTTTTTCTATAAAATTCAAGATCCTAAAAATAAACGAGAATTTTACCCCAATGTTGGCGTTGTCAAAAAGACAACGTCACTTTTCCTCCATCATTAATGTTGTCGGATTGCGTCGTATCGAGGTTTTCAGGAGTATTTAAAATTGACATTTGTTCAATACAACATTTCGGCGGTTGCCGAGGGTGGCCTTTTCGTCTTAGCGGGGCGTGAAACTGCTACGAGTGCTGTTTAGCAAAGTAAATACGAACTCACAAGTACGGCACAGCTCCGATCACCATAGTCCATTTCGGCGTAACAATTGACACCACAGAAGGAGCAAGCCAATTCGATACCGCGAAAAACGCGTACACTATCCCAAGACTTACATACGCATCTCCACCGAAATCCTTCGATTCAGCTTTCACACTTGCTAGTACCGTTTTCTGTAACAAGGAAACAAAGCACACAAAAAAAAAAAACCGCTATGTCATCAACACATCACAAAATCAACGCAACTACAGTCATGGTAGTTCAACACGCTGGTTTGACTGTTAGAACTGGAAATGAAACTCGACGAGAATTCCTTCAAAATGTTCCTTCACACTCCAGTAAATGAATCTCGGTCCCGTTGAAGGTGCTCGTCTCAAATAACAAAAAAAAATTAACACCATCGTTATCACCCGGTGCAATGTCAATATCCATGGCCACAATCTCAAAAGCAAATTGAAACAAAACTAAGTACTTCGATTAGCTTCGCCGTCTGGAATGCGGTGAACAGGAACATGAACGCGAATCCGAGCATGAAAATGTTGAGCGTCTTCCTGTCTGTGCGCATATTCGAAATTTTGAATCGATTAATGGCTTGCTATATGCTGTGAATATTCAACTCCATACACATGTGTAACAGATTCGACCATCCAAAACTTGACCACTTGGAACAAAAGATACGTAGGCGTTAATTGCTCATGTAGGGTGTCCAAAAAGTCACTAGAGCAGCGTAGATTTCTGGAAGAGCTTAAAACAAAAATACCAGTGACATCTACCAAAGCCGAAATAACTTGGCAGTGCGATGGACAAACAGCAGGTAAACTCATCAGATGGATTACAATCTTCTTTGAATTTCAAAATCCATTTTGTGAACCAACTACATACATTTTGAGAGCTCAGGTTGAATTTAAAACAGGAAGTACCCAGAAATATGACGTTTTAAAACTCAGGAAATTCTGGTGAGACTGTTAGTGACATCTACCGCTACTGAAGCTCTTCGTCATTTCAAAAGAATTTATCACACGGGTTCCAAATTTATCACTGCCCGTGGCCTTTTTTTTAGACACCTCATGGCAAAGTTCTTCAATTGCCTTTCGTTGAGAAAAATTTGTACCATAATTCGCGTAGACCGGATGCAAATTTTGTTCTTACCTACAAGACAAATTTCCATTTCGCATTGCTTTAAATAAGAAAGAAAAGTTTACTGGCTAGCGATCTATAGGATATTTTCCAGCTCACCAACCAAACGTCACGAAATTAATCAAATGATGATCGCGACAGAAGTACATAATGTTCACCCGTGAAAAATACTTGCTCTTACACATCAATCGGAAACACGTAAAAAATTCCGCGCTGAATTTTTCAGTTGCTGGACGAAAAACGACTCGATTCCTTCAATCACAGAAGCAATCACAAGGCGAATATAAATTTGCGAAGATCGAAGCAGACGAGGAAGTGTCAGTCCCGACGAAGACGACCCTCTGCCTGAATTTCAGAATATCCTCTGGTTCTTCCTTCGTACCTCCAGATCACCAACCTGAGGAATAAAGGTAACATAAAATAAATAAAATTTGAAAATTCGAGCGCAAATTTCAGAAGAATGGAACTTCGGAAGAATCAGCATCGGATTCAATGACTATCGTGAACATTAGCTATTCGCCATTTTAGGGGACACCAAAGGAAAATTCATCAGGCAGATCAAGAAGTTTCGAACACTGCAAAATTTATTGGCTAAGAATAACTCCACTTCGGAAATTCTGAGCGACGTTAACAGGAGGTATCTAGTTATCTCAATTCCAGGCATATACAAAAGTTTCAAAAACGATCGGAAAATCGAAAATAATTTCGTATTATACGCCCCCGGTTCTTTCGAATGCTTTTGAAATAAATTCGTGTTCCGGCGCGAATTTACCATAATTATTTTTGGAGGTTTGTCAGCAAGACATCGCAGAGGCCAACCATTTTCTAAACTTGTTTTGTTTTTGATGTTCCGTGCAATGATGAATCGCAATGAAATTTTGGAAAAAATTGACAGGAATCCAAAAAAAATGGAAAAGTATAAATTACTTTCGATTCACCAATTATCTTGAAATATTTGTGTCGGCACTGAATTCAAACTTCTCTCAAACGCGGTACTCGTTATGACCATAAAATAATTCTGGAGTGCTTGCAAGTGAAATCTATCAAAACACGTGCAATTTTTTTGCAATGGACGAAGTACGAAACTTCTTCACATGCATTGCATAATCAAAATATCTCCCTGACATGCGTCACACTTGATGAAAATAAAGAATGTACGTGGCTCCCCTTAAGCGTTTCGTTCGCAAGTAAGAGGTGCAGATTTTTCAAAATCGTAAGACATGAAACCGGGATTTTTTATTTCCGACTCAAACCTTCGATCGAATGCATGAGTGTTATTATGTAAAAATTTCAAATTTTTCGGATCGCAGATGCCTTCGAATTCTCCAACCGAAATACTAACCAGAATGTAAATGTGCCAATCAGACAAGACACCGTCAGGATCAGTAACTGATCGTGAAGTCCGACGTGCGAGCTGTAGAAAAAGGCAATCGCAGCCGCGACAGACTGAAAAAAAAAAGCATCTTGAATTTCAAAATGGAAAAAAAAGGGTGCTGCTTCAGTAGTCGGCCTATCATAATCAAATTGAATGGAATTAAGCAAGAGAATGATTTGAACATCAGAAAAACCCCCACGATCGTGAACAACGGCAATGGATCTTCACGAATAGCTTTGAATGTCTGATGAACAGTTGCTTGAAATGCATCTTCAAATTGAATGGAATTAAGCAAGAGAATGATTTGAACATCAGAAAAACCCCCACGATCGTGAACAACGGCAATGGATCTTCACGAATAGCTTTGAATGTCTGATGAACAGTTGCTTGAAATGCATCTTGACATATTTTTCCACCACTTTTTGTCCTATTCTACACCAATTTTTCAATTCATTTCTCAGCTCTCTTGACGCCATTTCGAAAATTTCCAGAACTTCAGAATCACAGAACTTTTTCTACCGCAATCCGATAGAGTCGCTACAGGTACAACAGAATCTTGAGGAACTCATTTTCGCGCAAAAATGGTCGTCCGCCTACCAAAGCAGCATAGAAAAGTGACATCTTCATTTTGAAAATTGAGTCAACAATTACTTGTGCGAATTTGTAAAGCGCGAAGGCCGGGGCGCTGTCAGTTGAATAGAGACTCCCAACAATAGCGTAAAGCTGAGTATTGTAACATGCATCTCCGAGACCCAACAAGTAACTGCACAACAACGCCAACCACATCCTGAAAAAAAAAACGCAAACACACAAAAAATTCTCAAAGATTCAGAGATGCTGGAAAAACATTTTGAGAAAGCACCTGCTTGTTATGTAAGCCTCGTCAGACGTTGGTCCAAACGCAGAATTATTTGGTAAGTTGAGAAATATCAGGAAGAATGCTGCTAGATGCGCAAAGGCTGCCAACAGCACAACTGGGTCTCTGCCATACTTTATTGTCTTCTTCCCCATTATGCCGAACAGCAAACCACCTGAAAATGAGCGAAAATTTGAAATCGGTTGAGGAAATACAGTACAGGGTAAACTATTCAGGGCTTTTCAGAATTCAAAATTGTCAATTGATAATAGTTTTTTTAGAATGAGGAACATCGCTTTCCTCGTTCCTGAATGAGTTTGACACTATTCTTCCGTGTATCACAAACAGTATGTTGATTGACAATTCATTCGAAGAATTAATAATTTTCAATTCCAGAAAATATGGAAAAGCTTAGCCGAACTTTTGTAATTGATCCGTCGAGAAATTCTCTTTGGGTCTGAAACCAATCGGCGATTTCATTTAACCCTAGATTACTTTTTTAAATGGAAATTTAAGTTCTGTATTGAACTTCCGAAATCTTCCGAAGCCCATCCATCATTTCACAAATTACACTTAACAGTTCAACCGTGGTGCTTTCATTAAATGCTGAATAAGTTCAACAAGGCATGGGTCAACATCATTAATGAAGTTTAATTTTTCGATAACGGACTTCATATGGATCAAGTCCATCTCCCCTTGGTCATATCACGTCCATAAACCGAAGCACATCCGTAATGCACTAAGTTCACCCCAAACTTTCAAGTTAAACGAATAATATTTTCTCATAAGCCATATTACAAAGGTGTGCTTCCACCAGAGCCTGAATGGGCTAACATGACTAGCTGAATAGACCTCGGATAATGGATTTCCGTTGGGATGGATCGATTCCATAAACCGAGGCTCCTCTGCAATTCACTGATTTCATCACCGATCTTCAAGGTGAGCTTCCTGAAAATGTTGAGATTTTTGGTGCGTGCTATACTTCAAGCAGATTCATTAACGTTCGAAGACATATTTTTTTTAAACTAGAGGGAGCAAAATCATACTTCTAGGCAAAAATCAAATTTGGCAAATGACAATTAAAAAAAAACGCAGAACAGTTGATTTCGAAGTAGTATCGGCTAAATTTCAAATTTTGAGCATTTCTTTCTCGGAATTATTCGTTTTTTCGAGCTTGCAATATTTTTTCATCGTACACCAGATAATGGATACGTTAGAGGGGTTAATAGATTTCA